GTACTTCACAAAAAATACGCGAGATGTCAGTGTATGTAATTTGGCGAAACAATACACCACAATATTCTTGAACGCACTTTTCAAAATATATTATGTACATGTACCTATCTTGTGTGAGCATGATTGTATGACCGGCGGGGGGGAGGGGTTTAATCATACGATATTTAGTTGCCTACCCTGTCTCGAAAACCTGTGCACGCCACTGTTATTTAGTCAGACTTTTTTTTTAATTTTCAGTCCCCCCCTTCTAATCAGATCGGATATATGTTGGGTATATTCACCATGACACTAGGTTTTCCCCACATGTTAATCTGACGCGCTCGAGTAACTACCGAAATCCCTTCATGGGCTCCCCTACTAATATAATACTTAACAGTACCGAATAAGTTTAAGTCGCACTGGTAACAATTAATATGGAAGACAGTTAAGATGAATCTATCAGTTTACATTTACTGGAAGTGACAAAACAAAGTCTATTTAACTTATAATCTCAATCTCAAATAGAATTAAAATATTGTACCTAGTTTGTGTAATACCTACATATGTTTTGACTGAAGACTAAGGAGACACACAAGGATTACCTTCATTATTGTTTTTCATACAGGTGTCGTGCATATTCTTATCAAATTATTATAGTTTGATAAGACACCTAACCTAAATAACATTACACTAGAGGTAGATTAGAAAATAGAATAGATCGATATTAACTCGTCGAGTACTGTCATTGTAGACACAATTATAGAACAATAGGTTGCGGTCACCGGTGACCGAGTTAATATACAATATAATGGTAGTTAGTAGGTATGTACATATTCAATACTCATTCACAAAATACTGGCTCCAATAATGGATTTACCCGTACGTGGAAAGATTACAAATATTATATTCTTTACTACTCATTCATATGAATGAATTTTCGGGAATACAATAGAGTCATCAATACACAAGTAGAACAATTCAATCAAATTGTAAAAATATATTCGTTACACGTATTGGGAAAGCCACATATCATATTTGTTACGTGTATTCCCGCCGTCAATGTTTATATTTTATATACTTTTTGTATAAAACAAATAAAGGATTTTATTGTTATAGATCATACATTAAAAAAGGGCGAAATTAAACCATTTGAATTGTAGAAGAGTCGTACTTCTAATCAGAGCGCCGAACGCGTACTCGTTTCGAATACTTTAAACGAAAAACAAACTCGTACTAAGGCCTCTGATTGGTCGGTTCATTGGCGCCGGCCAATAAGAGTGCCGGACGCGTACTCGTTTCGAATACTTTAAACGAATAACAAACTCGTACTAAGGCCTCTGTATCGAAATATCAAAGACTATTTAATGCAAACATACATATAACCGGCACACGCGTTCAAATCACGATTCATATCACTTCAACTACCTGACTCCCCACTTCGCAGATTCTAAGTAAACTAACAAAAACATGATTTTAATACAAAATTCAAGGTCCCTAAGGTTCACTAACACGGTCGTATCTCAATAATTATACTGTTTACTTGCGCACGCGTCCATTTTGACTTTTTACTCATTATATACATGTTTGCGCGTTGCCAACATAAAAACTTGTATTTAGATCGTCCAGCCGATAGTTTGTGCATGAAACTGAGGTTGAATCTTTTTAGAGTTCCTTAAAAACTAAATATTTTTTTATAGAACTTCAAAATTATGTTAAAGTCGATACAATGACATTCACTATTCATAATTAATGGATATGGTACATTCATTATTAATATCATCGGTTGAAAGACGTCCTTCTTCTAAAAAAATGCATCTCAACTTTTAGGGACTTTTTAAGGGGTTCCCTCTTATAGAATCCTTTAATTCTAGTTCCTTTAATCATCGAATGACTTCTCCCGTCTGGGTGAAGCGGGAGGAAGTGTCAGACCCTTACTGACAAAAAACCACCCCGTTCTTACTCCCTGCACTTCGAGCCGGAGCCTCGGTAACCATTTAAATTCTCCGGGGCTCCGTATCAAATTTTAGGGACTAGGTTGTCATAAATTATTTAGGGATTGCAGTCACCGATGGTCTAGGTACGAATAGACTACGATACAAATTGTGCATTAAATATAAGACATTAATGTCTGTATTGTTCACACTTATACGGATCATAAGCCAGCAGCTGATGATTATCATGTCACAATAAATTTTCTAATTACACACGGTACCATCTAATTAATATACGCTTTACAAGCAGGTTGAGTATTACAGTTAGGTCTGCGACAGTTCTACTACTCATCCTTCAGTGACTAGTGGCAGACTTCTCCCAATATGGGTACCCATGAGTGATGTTGATCGCTTACCATCAGGTAATTCGTCTGCTCGTTTGCCTCCTATTCCATAAAAAATTAAAAGATAACTTCTAGATCGACCACGAACCGACCAGCATCTACCGGCTCCTTGCGACCTTTACCAAGCCTTTGTAATATGTATATCATCATGATTAGCCTATAAATGATCACTGCTGACCAAAGGCTTCTTCTCACACGGAGAAAGTTTGAGCAATAAGCACCACGCTTACTCAATGAGCGTTAGCAATTTCTTAGTTAGAACTTATAATCAGAAATTATAAGTCCCGCTTTCCTCATGGTGTTTTTCTTCACCGTTTCAGTGGTGTCTAAATAGTTGTAGAAAGTACATAACTCGAAAATGTCACATTGATACTTGCTGTTGGTAGGTTTCAAATCTGCACCCTCGTCTATAAGGCATCTTAAACCTCAACCACGGGCCACCACGACATTCTAGATCAGCCACAGGAATAGGAAGCGTCCTGCATCTACCAGCTCCCTGCGACCTTTAGCAAGCCTTTGTAATACGGAGATACAATACTCTAAATACAATATACAGTTAACCCATTACAAAAACTTATAATTCGTGCGCAAGTAACTGATACTAAAGCGGATATATTTTGCCAATAACCTTTAAAGCTGCCAAAGATATTATGTAAGGTCTAACACTTATTCAGATCGATAAAAAACATCTAAATGATTTCAAAGTGCTAATACGATCAGCCTTCGTCCATAGATATTACAACCTCGGTACGATATTACTCAGACACTCTAATAGATACATTTTTCTAATTGACCTTATAAA